CCACCTCATGCAGTTATGTTGTGTCAGACAAATTTCCAGTGTCTGTGACTATTGTGGATGGTGACCAACATCAGCCCGGTCAAATAAAGACTCTCTAATGATTCACTTAAGCCTTTTTGAATTTAAACCTTCAGCAGAAGTCATCTTAAAAACATCTTTACTTCAGTTTTTGACAGTAATTCCTGGTTAATAATTTCCTGTCAACGAGGAAGACGAGACATTATTACTTGAACTTGCAAAGTAAACAAAACAATGCAATTAGGTTATTATGTAAGACATGTAATTATGTAATTGGAGTACTGTGTAGCTTTAACAGTAAGACTCCTCTGTATTGCGATAGTACCAAATGTCTGCTTGGCACATACAGTATAGTGGAAGCAGTTGGTTTCCTTGTCCTGTAGAGGGTGAACGTGATAGATCAGCTGCTCTTACACAGCGTTAACTTATTGTGAGCATACAGTTTGATGGATATAAGATGGTACGTTTCAAGAGATTGGAGGCAAGTCTGTGTGTTTAAAGTAATTTAGAAACACTCAACAGTGTTTCTAAATCACAGCATCAGGTCATTTTAAACTGTAAAACATCCTGTTTGCTACAAATGAGTTGCAATTCTCTTAAAAAAAATCATCCTTTATTTAAATTTTTTAACTTTATATGTAAAAATGTCTAAACTGTGAACTGCTGGTGTTTCAATCTTTCACAATAAAAGATCTGGTGGCTGTTACTTTGTATTTTGGCTTTTCTTTGCTTCATATAAGTAAAATGTAAAACTGTTTAACCAAATCTTAATGTAACTGCTTTTGTTTTTTTTTAATTGATTTAAGAGTAAAGAAGACTCTGAACTGAACCATTCAAAGGAAGAGATGCTCAGACTGAGCGGACAAATCAGCAATCTCTCACACGTAAGTCAAACTACAAGATTAGTCCAGTAAATCCAAAAATGTTTTTATCTTTATTCTTATGTTGTCATTGGCCAAATCTGCTCACAGGAGAACGAGCAGCTACGCGGCTCTCTTCTGCAAGCCCAGACAAACATCGCCATCCTGCACTCAGAGCTGGACAAGCTGAAGAACGTGTATGCGGATCAGAAAGCTCAACATGAACGGTAAAGCTATTGTCAGACCTGACATGACGATTCTGACGCTCAGAAACCACAATCCATATAAGGTGTGTGCGTCCTTTCACAGAGAAACAGAAGATTTGAAGAGGATGGCTATGGAATACCAGTCGTACTCCAGTCAGATTCAGATTCTCCAGTAAGTCTGCCTTTAAGCTCATAATAATGTGTTTATGCTGACTTTTTAAAACAATAATGTAATGACTCTAGTCAGTACTATCAAGCTCTTCTACATGAGTAAATAAAGCGCACAGGTTTGACAGTGTCACTCCTGTTTGACATTTATGAGCTCTATATAAACAACATGAACTTGGATTTGAGAATCCAAGTTCATGCAAATATTTATTGTTCTCCATACGATGTAATAGAAGAGCCAAGTACCTCCTAAATGCCTCTAATCTTTCTAATCTAGTTGTGTGAGTCTGACACTTATCTGGACTAACTGGGGGTAACAGAATAGCGGGATTTTTGCTATTTGCATAATGACTGATTTTATTAGGTAAATG